ATAAAATCAAAAGCTATACCCTTGCGGCCTTGAGTTCACGGTGAATTCACCGTTAGCGTGAATTCACCGTGAATACACCGTTTATGTGCAGTGAATATACCGTCTATTTGTGACATTTGTAGACGGTAATTAAACGGTGAACTCACGCTGTTTTTGCGATAAATTCACGGTGATTTCACGGTTAATTCACGGTGATTTCACGGTATATTCACGGTGAACTCAAGTTTGCAAAATCACCGCAAATTCACTGTAAAAGTACCGTAAATTTATCGTGAAATCACCGTAAAAGCGCTGTGAGTTTACTGTGAAAACACCGCAAATTGTAAGTGTAAGATTCGAACAATCTGCTAATTGGTTATTCCCAATACAATACAAATATCGCAAGAGGGCTCTCGTGTAGCTGCGCAAAATCAACGAGGTTGAGAGTCTCAACTTGAGACGCCATCATAAAGAAAAAACAACAAGTTGGACGCCATTTATTAGCGGTTTCTGTGTTAAGAGGTTTAAGCAATACATCTCACGGCTGCTTACGCAAGCGAGCTAACTATAAATAGCGTTGGGTTGCAATATTTAGTTGAAAGTGTGCGTCTGTAATGGCATAGCTGAACATTAATTGTTTGAAGTCCCCATCTCCATCCTCATCTGCTCAGTAACGAATAATGGGGGAACTTGACTCGGATCATCTTCCAGTCTGTATCGAATTGGCTCTAAAAACTCCAAAACTAAAAAATAAAACCTTTATTAACTACAAACATACAGACTGGAAGAAGTTCAGACAAATACTTACTTCTCTAACTATAATAAACAATAATATCAATTCCACCAAAGATATAGATCTATATATCTATATCTATAATGAAATATTATCTATAATGAAATTACTAAATTGACTAATAATATAATTTATGCCAAAAACAAAACCCCCGTCGCAAAGAAAATCAAGTCGCCTCATGACAATTTACCAGATGAAATAATAGACAAAATTAAAATGAAAAATAAATTAAAAAAGAAATTCAATTTATATAATGACCAAAATGATAAGACAAATTACAACAGACTTAAAAACGAAATTAGAAGTGAGATCAGGGAACATAATAACAAGGTGTGGACGGACACATTGGCTAAACTCACCCCCCGTGATAACAGCCTTTGGACATTGCTGAGGAAACTAAAAAATTCAAAAAATAACATCCCATCACTATGCGTAAACAACACCCAATATATCACTGACAGTGAAAAAGCCAATGCCTTTGCCACTCATTTTCAGAACGTACACACCATAAACACAAATAATTTAACTGCTGAACAGGACAACATAAACACGACAGGTAATGACATAATGAAATTGCAACCTGAACCATTAGATCCCCAAACTTTTAAAAAATATTTAATATCTCCAGATAAATTAAAAGCAATTATCAAATTACTGCCGAATAACAAAGCACCCGGTATAGATAACATTGAAAACATATTGTTAAAGAATATTCCCCAGAAAACCTTGGTGCAGTTTCATTATGTCATAAACCAAATACTTAGATTTCAATATTTCCCACATACCTGGAAAAAATCTAACATTATCAAAATTCCAAAAGCTGGAAAAAATCCCACGCAACCCCCAAGTTATAGGCCCATCAGTGCGATGTCAAAAGTGGTCGAAAAAGTCATTCTTGAACACATAAATAAATGGGATAATAAAAATAAAATCACTCCAAATGAACAATTTGGATTTATACCAAAACATGGGACTGTTCACCAAGCCATAAGGGTCGTTCACGATGTTCAGCAGGCCAACAACCGTGGCCAGAATACGGCCATGGTTCTGCTGGACATCGAGAAGGCCTTTGATAAGGTTTGGCTGGCGGGTCTTATGTTCAAGCTTCATGAATTCAAAATCCCAACACCATTATTAAACCTTTTGGCATCGTATCTCAGTGAGGAAATTTATCACCACAGTCGGGACATCAAACTCTGCCGTGTACAACATTGGGGCTGGAGTGCCCCAGGGCTCTGTACTTGCCCCCAAGCTTTACACCTTGTATACGGCAGACGTCCCAACGTTCACAAAAACAAAATTGGGCCTATACGCGGACGATACCGTGGTGTACGCTCATTCCTTTTATTCACAAGTGGCAGTGGCACAATTAAAAATTCATCTAAGAATGCTTACGAAATACTATGATAAATGGCTCATCAAAATAAATAACACTAAAACCGAGCTCATTCACTTTACAAAAAAATTCAAAAACAGTCGAATTATTACACCACCTGTCATAGACGGAATCACCTTACAGGAAAAAAAAGCCGTGAAGTATCTGGGTATTATTCTAGACAACAAACTCACTTTCACCAACCATGTCAACAACATGAAACCCAGAGTCTTCACGGCACTTAAGCATATTTACCCACTTATAAATAAAAACAGTGTTCTCAGCCTTGAAAATAAGTCCAAACTCTATAAAAGTGCCCTTAGGCCAATAATCACATACGGCCATCCCGTGTGGTGTGGTGTATGTCGGAGACTAACTACACCAAAATTCAGAGAATACAAAATAACTTACTCCGACATGTAACTTCTATGGGCAGATACACATCCATAGATTTACTACACGAGATGACTGAAATGCCTAGATTAAAAGAGTACATATTTCAACAAAGTGACAATTTTTACCGACATAAATTAAAAACTAACCCATTATTAAATAACATAACCGATATTAGACGACATGATAACGCCAATATTAAACACGATCTAATATATAGGAACCTTGAAATATATAATGAAAACAGGTAAATAAATAAATAACACAAACACAATTTGCAAAAATAAATAAATAATCATTCTCAATGCACACTGGGTGCTCTGGGTCCTACGCGTACACTGGGCGGACGAATACATCGTACAAACGACGTCCGTCTTGTTGGCGTGGATTCTGGGCCATACTCAGTACAGATTTAATATCTTGGCATTGTTAGCATTTCTAAATTTAGCACAGCCATATATGTCTGCCTTAATACATCACTCCATTTATGATAAACAACCAAACCAACAATATCATACAAAAGGGAGCGTGGTAGGCGTGAGACGCTACTCATGTGCCGTATTCGGGGCGGGCGGGGTTAACGTACATACGACGCCCGCTTCCGTGGTGCTGAGTGGCGGTTCGCGCCTGCCACCCCTCCTGCTTATACCTCTCACGGTCAATTAAATAAACTGACCTACTATACAGGGTCAATAATAACAAACAGCTTTTTTACCTATCTTTAAACAGGTTTTTTCCGATACTTTTTCCTGTAATTTTTTAACCAATAGTTTAAAAAATCAATAGTCACAGTCGATAGAGCCTGCAAACATTTACAAAATCCCCACACGACAACACCTTCAAAATCACCTTGGTGAGAAAGTTGAGCCATCTCGCTAAATAGACTGATTGGGTTGGATGCTGACGTTCGTCACAACATCGACGCGGTTGATGACTGCCGCTGATGTCGCGACGCCAGGACTGCACCACCGGCCTACTCTACACTCCATTTTTTCCTTCTTGTAATAAAATGAAATGTAAAATACTTTTGGCAGCAAGGCATCTATGCACAATTTAATTGTACTGACAATGAAAATAAACTATTTTTGATTTGATTTGAATAATGGCTAGCTATAGTCGATTGTGTTAAACCTATAGGATATACCTACCCTTGCGGCCTTGAGTTTACAGTTTATTCACCGTGAATTCACTGTGAATTCACCGCGAAGATACCGCCAAAATACGGTGGATTCACAATTAAAATACTGTGAAAAGTGCGTGAATTCACCGTCTAACTACCGTTTACAAATGTCACAAACAGACGGTTTATTCACGGTGAATTCACGGTGAATTAACCTAACTCAAGGCCGCAAGGGTAGGCAATGATGGCATAGGCATAGAAATGCTACAGTATTGTTCACTTCACATAATCCCTATACTAACTCATATTATTAATTTTAGTATTGACAACTCTGTTTTTCCCAATCAATGGAAATCGGCCTTTGTTATACCAATGCCCAAAGTAAAAATTGCAGACGATTACAAAAATCTCAGACCGATTAGTATCTTAAACACTTTATCCAAGTTGTGCGAAAAAATTTTAAATAAACAAATTAGGAAATATATGGATACATTTAACATTTTACCAACGAATCAGTCAGGTTTTAGAAAACAATACAGTTGCACCACAGCACTGCTGAAGGTAACTGATGGTATTTTACGGGCGGTGGATGAAAATAAATTGCTCTTGTCTTGCTTGATTACTCTAAGGCATTTGATCGTATAGATCACAACTTATTATTATATATCTTAAAATATGTCGGTTTTTGTGATCAAAGCTTACAATTAATAAAAAACTATCTTACATCTAGAACACAATCTGTAAAGCTTGACAACTCTCTTTCTTCCTCTCTTAATATAGATCACAACTTATTATTATATATCTTAAAATATGTCGGTTTTTGTGATCAAAGCTTACAATTGGTCAATTCTCATATAACTTGTTCCGATGCTGTATCCACTTATTTTTGTGAAAACTAATTCTCGCTCAAAGTTTTTTTTAGTGTAATAACCATGTAGCATTTTAAGGTAATGGGAACTTAAATTATGACAACCCTAATCTATTAATTTTTTCCCGAGGGGTGTCTCACTTAGGTAAAAAATGTACATGTACTGCCAAAATATCATTTACACATGACTGCCAGCGACTGCCATCGACTGCCGGTGACTGCCAGCGACTGCCAGTGACTGCAAGTGACTGCCAGTGACTGCCAGCGACTGCCATAGACTGCCAGAGCGTACCGGATATATACTTACCAAGTATATGGTCCCGGAGGCACCTTAAAGAAGTGCCCACCCGTCGCGACGCATCGTCGTTAGGTCCAATATTCACGCGCATTCGCACAATACATGCACGAGCAATAACACAATGTCAAAAATAATGTTTTATTTTACTTGCTATCATATTTATAAACATAATAATTAAGAACTTTGCTTGAAAGTCTTGTACTTGGTTTCCAATTCTAACTTTTCATGGCGTTTCAGTCTGAACGGATAGCTGCCTACAATATTAATTGGTCCATAAAAAATAAATTTATTTTTGACAACCTGAATATCATCCTTTACTGGCCATAGAAACTCATCAAGTTCTTTCTTAAGAAATTTAATTTTAAACTTGTTGTTTGGTAAAATTTCGACAATACGACCAATATACCATGTGTCGTCGTAAAAAATCCCATAGAACTCTTCTAGTTTTATATTTGTACAAGAAGTGTTGTTTTCATCCTGATATTGATTTGCTATTTCTCTATCCAACTCATAATCTGAAAATGATTCGTTTTCAAATTCCGAGTCAAATTCATTTAAGAGTTCAATTGCGGTAATATCGTCGTTAGGGTCGTCAGAAGTTTCGTCACTCGTTGTTTCATTGCTTGCTATAATTGCTTTCTTGTTTTTTTCCCTTAAGTTTTTTCGAGGGTTTTTTCCTTTGTTCCTTTTTCTTTATTTTAGCAGTGTTTTTGGATAGTTTAGTATTTGAGGAATTTAGTGACTTACATCTGATTAAACGGTCACTAGAGAGTCTACCCTGATGCCCAAAGTCACGAATATTAAGGCTGTCAATATCGAGGTTAAAAATTTCCGCATCTGTCTGTATATCTATATTGTCCTCAACATTTGGTTCCACTGCCATGTTGTTTTCAATTATTCTTTCAGTATCTGGTTCTTCGAAAGATGGTGTAGCGGGCTTGGTAACAGGTGGAAAAGATACAGTGGATAATGCTAGTTTTTCACATTCATGGCCCAAATTTACTCCTAAATCCCTTATATCACGTAACGAGTCATTTTTAGCTTTCTTTAAAACAGCATTTATTTTTTCTATTGAAGGAATTTCTAGCTTGTTCATTGTATTTACACATAAGGTAAACGTGAAGCAGACCTTTTTTGTTTATAACTACTGAGAAATATTGAGAAAAAATATAGTTTCATAGTTCAAATTTAGAAATAAGCGCTGCCACTACTTTCAAATTATGTCAAAATCTCGGTCAAAATATTATTATCGATTATTAAAAAATTAAAAAATAGAATGAAAATTAAAAAAAAACGAAGAATTAAAAAAAGGAAAAAAATCAAAATTAAAATGTACATGCTCAACAACCCATAAAACGATATATTAGTACATTTTTTACGAAATTCGGAATTTTTATCCTCTTTTCTTTTCACCCTTATTCCTTATTTTCCAATAAAATGTCAATTTTATTTTAAAATTGTTATCTGTTTTGCTTAAACCTACACAACGACATATTATTCCAATTTTATGATTTATTTATTTTTCCCCCTCGAGCCCCTCATATTTTAACCCTCACCTTATTTTTTACTAAATTCTCAAATCAGTTTTAAAATTAAAATATGCATCCCCAAAAAAATAACAAGCGGAATATCGTTTAATTTTTAACGAAATTTAGCAATTTTTTACTATTTAACAAATTTCAAGTTATCGCGTAAACAGTTTAGTTAGTTAGTTAGTTAGTTAGTTACTAACAAACTGACCGACAAGTAGGGATCGACCGATAGCGATATCGGTATTGGCATCGGCATAATAAAAACATAAATTGCTAAATATTTTAGTAGATAAGGATTTTTTAAGGAAATTAGAACACAAATACTAAATAAAAATCAAATCAAAGTATATTTTTATTCTTTTTTAATAATTGACAAAAAATCATTAAATATGTAAGTAACAGTTAAAAGAACTAATATGGAAAGTTAAGTTTTGACAAGTAGGTATCAAGTATCAAAATTAAGCTATCTGCTCTTTCCGGTAATTCTGGTATTCCCTGACCGAACGAACGCAGCCGGACGGCCGCGGCCGAGCTTTGCCAATTTCGGGGATTCACCACCAAAACATCAAATTTTTCCGCCGTGTAAAACAGTAACCGTATATCCACAGACACACAGCGTTCAAAAAGTCATATCGGTCGATCCCTACCGACAAGCGTTTTGCAAGTTACGTAATAAAGAGAAACACGTAAACAATGTTTAATCGCATGTTATAAAGTTAAAACCTCCTTTTGTACTCGAAATTTCCAAGCAGTGTACGAGAAACTCATGTGGTTGACGTTTTTCGTACACTGCTTAGAAATTTCGCATATATAAGGAGGTTTTAACTTTATAACATAGCGATTCTTATCTACGAGCCTATCTATAACCCCATATAATCTCTCCTAGATTTCAGTTAAAATTACCGAAACGGGTAAATATTGGATTAAAAAGACCGACTGACAATCGACAGAGGAGAAAAATAATTAAATCAATTAAAAAGATACTTACCTGTTATTTATTTAGCAATCGCTCACAGTAATAACTATTTACACACATATAAAACTAAAGCCGAAACAAAAGATAAATAAAATAACCTCCCAACGTGAATGGCTTGGTGAATGGTAAATGCAGGGATGCAAGAGTTATTGCCAACAGCATAGAAATAATTGTACTGTTTGGAAGAGGAATATACTTTTTACACGAAACTTCCCGAAATTTGCCGAGTGACTGCTAAATACCATGAGACTGAAGCCGACTGCTGTGACTGCCTAAGGACTGCCAAGCGACTGCCAAAGAGTATCTAGCGACTTCCTATGACTGCCACTGACTGCTTATATAATTATCGACTGCCAGCGACTGCCGAGAAAATGTACATGTAATGCCAACAGTGAGACACCCCTATTTTTTTCCTAAAATGCAGGCTTTATGTTGCAAATGTCACGTAAGTTACCGGTCACCAACTGCAATATCCTAACATCGATGAATATTTCAACAAAATGGCTGTTCAAACAACTAATGTTAGTGCTTGATTAACTAAAAATAGACTTAAGATTGACAAAAAATTATTTTATCCGAAATCGGCAGTAAAGTAGTCAACAATCGTAAATTAAAATAAATCGGCAGTAAAGTTCTACTCTAAAGGTGGAGGAGTATTGTTAGCATTTAAAGATAAATACAATGTTACTAATTTAAACTGTGATAATTTAAATAATCTAGTCCCAATCATAGATATTTTGGGTTGTAAGATTAAATCTAAGTTAGTAAGTTTGCATTTGTACAATATATACATTCCCCCGCAAGTAAGCTTTGCTGAATTTGAGTCATTTTTTGAATTATTTGAGACTACTGTTGTTGATGTTGTAAATATGGTTATACTGGGGGATTTAAATGCTTCTAATTTTGTATGTCGTAATCTAAATGACTTTAAAAAGCGCATGATTACAAATTTTTTGCAAATAAATTTGTTCGCTCAGTATAACAACATACTAAACAGTAATAATAAACTGCTTGATTTGTGCATTTCCAACTTATCATGTGATGTAACTAGGGAGTTTTTGCCTATTGTACCTTAAGATGAGTATAATCCAACTTTACTAATTAATATTGAATTGGGCTCTGAAAGGTCTCAAAGATTTCTAAATAATTGCTTAGATAAATCATATAACTTCAAAAAAGCCAATTTTCTCGGACTGTACGAAGCACTTCGTAAAGTTAATTGGTATTTTCTTGGAGACCTTACTGACCCTAATTATGGTGTTGATGAATTTTAAAAAATTATTTACTCATTATTTGATCAATTTGTTCCTTTGTATAATAGTTTTAAACGGATATACCCATCATGGTATACAGTTGAATTAATCAATAACATTAAATTAAAAAAAACACTATCATAGTAAATTTAAACGTACTAAAACATGTCTGCATTGGATGATTTTAAAAGATTGAGAAAATATATAAAAAAAACAAGTAAGAGTAGCCTATAATACATATCTTACTAAAGTTGAATCTGGCTTTAAATCAGATCCTAAGAGTTTTTGGCACTTTATACAATCAAAGAATTCCATCTCATATGTTTTTTAAAATGATGAATATGAGTCTTCTGAAGAAATAGTTGATGGTTTTGCCAACTTCTTTAAAAGTGTTTATGAGATTTCTGACAACAATATTGTAACTATAAATACTAGTAATAATAGTTCAAGCCATATTCACCTAAATTGTTTTCAAGAAAATGATAACAAAAGCGATTTCATCTCTTAAAAATAACTCATCCCGTGGTCATGATCAAATTCCCAGTTTCTTCATTAAAGATTGCCATAATCTGTTAGTTTCACCTCTTCTTACTATTTTTAATATAATATTAAAAACTTCCAAATTTCCTTCATTATGGAAAGTTACTCTTGTCACTCCTATCTTTAAAGCGCGCAATTATCACGACATTGGTAATTATAGACCCATTGCGATTTTGTCCAACTTGTCGAAGCTTTTTGAGAAGTCTTTATATTTTTACATCTACAATGGTATGTCCCAGAGCATCTCCCCTATCAGCATGGTTTTATTCATAAACGATCGACAGTTACTAACTTGTTTGATTTTACTCAATATACTTCCAATGTTTTGGATCAAAAGGGCCAAGTGGATGTTATTTATACTGACTTCTCTAAGGCGTTTGATAAAGTTGATCATACTATCTTACTTTGTAAACTTGATTCTATTGGTCTAAGTAAACCGTTATGTAATCTTATTCGCTCTTACATTAGTAACCGCCAATTTTACGTATTTTTTAATGGTTTTAGGTCTAGTTGCTTTGTTCCTACGTCTGGAGTCCCTCAGGGATCAAATTTGGGTCCTTTGCTGTTTAATATATTTATTAATGATTTTTCGTCTTTGTTAAACTGTATACATCTCCTATTTGCCGATGATTTAAAGTTGTTTGCTAGAATTACAACGGTTGAAGATTGCATTTTACTGCAGAATCATCTGAATGTGGTACATCAATGGTGCAAATTAAACAAGCTGGTTTTGAACATTTCTAAATGCAAAACTTGTACTTTTTTCCTTAAGAATGATTTGATAACTTACCAATACTCTTTAAACAATAATGTTCTTTCTTTTTGTGAAAGTGTTAATGATCTTGGCGTATTATTTGATAATAAATTAACATTCTCGAGTCATATAAAAAATTTAGTTTCCCAAGCATGTAAATTATTAGGTTTTATTAGCAGAAATTCGAGAGGATTTAAAACTGAAATCGCTTTAAAATCCTAGGATTTTAAAGCGATTTCAGTTTTAAGTTTATACTTCTGTTTAGTAAGATCTAAAATTGAATACTGCTCTATTATTTGGTCTCCGCACTATAATAACTCAGTTATATTACTTGAAAATGTTCAACGTAAGTTTTTAAAACTTCTGGAATTCAGGCTGGATAATGTGTACCCAAACAGGGGCATTGATCATCAATTATTACTTGAAAGATTTAATGTTGATTCGCTGCATTTTCGAAGAGTATGTTCTGGTTTAAAATTTTTGTACAAAGTTTTTCACATCGAGATTGACTGTTCTAATATCTTATTTATGTTTAATCTACATGTTACTAGACTTAACTCTCGTAATAGTAATATGTTTTATTGCAATAATGCTCGTACTGCAATGTTAGCTAACTCACCGGTTCATGTTATAACTAACAACTACAATTTAATAAGCCATTCATGTGATTTGTTTTTAAGAGCTTAAATTATTTATAAGCTATTGCTAAAGATATATTTGAAACCTAAGGTTCTCTATTTGCATATAATTGTATATTTTTGTCCTATTATTGGAATGTATTGTTCTGTTGGTCAAATAAATTATTATTATTATTATAAAATAACAACAGCCGTCTTCCTAAAATCTTCTTAATCCAGAATTGGACTGGAAAGGGCTGCAACAAGTATCAAATCTATTTTCAGTGTCTCGTATTAATCCTTTAACATACACTGCTGTTCATAAGTTAGGGAACCCCCTTTATAGTTAAGACGCCGGTATATTTACTTTTAAATAAGGCAACTTTCTAAAATTTCAAATTAATATATTTTTATATTATAACAT